AATAATGGGATTTTTGTGGGAAGGATTTTAATTGATAAGCTCGCTGTTGACTCGAGAAAATGGAAGAAAATAGATGTTAAGGAGGTCTTGGAAAATTTCTTTCTGATGGATAATGAGAATGAAAATGAAAATCATGGGAGAAGAAAAAAAAAAATTATCTTTTTTCCTTTTTCTTTGCGTTGTGCATGAGATGAAATGAAAAGATAAACAAACATTGGTTTTGATTGATAAGAATGGTTAGTTTAAGTTATATATATATTAGAATTAGAGGGTTTACTACTTTGAAGCTCGTTTGAAAGCCGTGTACTGTGTTAGTATTGATTAGTTAATTTGAAAAATGAGTTGAAGTGATGGGTGAAAGAAAGCGAGTATTTTCAAAAAATCACTCCCATTGAACAATACAGGGAAAAAGAAACCACTACACTTTAAGGCCTTGAGAGCCACTGAATTATAAGATCAATCCAACATGATCAATGGATTCATGACGGTGGATGAGAAAATAAACCTTAGCATAAATACTCTTCCCTTCAAATGAAATTTAAGGGGAAAAAAAAGACATGTAGACGTTTTTTCACGTACCAAGGTACTGACGTAGAAACCAATTGTGGTGAAATAGCATGATAGCATCCGAAAGAGGTCGAAACGATGCCCCAGGCGATATAAATCGTGACTCAAAGTCTGTTCCCCATTACCATTGGCTATCTTGGCCTCAAACAGAGAAATCTGGTTAAGGCCCACATCTCTTCCTTTACCCACTTGTATGTACTCGTGGTGGGTCACATTGCCCTCACGAAGTGTAGAATTAAAGCCTACATTTTTTGCGTATACAGTTACGTCAGAGTTGAGTAATTAACACAAAGAGTGAAATAAAATGTACGATTGAAAGAGTATAATACGAGGGTATGTTGACATATACCAGCAAATATGTCCTCACTCAAGTTGATGACCTTGGATGCTTTACTCACCCTTCCTCTTGTGAGGTGTAATAGTCGATCAAAAACATCCGGATGGCCGTAATGAAACCGGACCCTGTAAAGAGAGAATTCAAGATGCAACATGTGCTACATTAACTAATAGGCAAAAAGAAACAACTGCATAAAAATTAATCAAACATACACACAGGTAGTTCTCAAATCATAAAAGAAACAACAAAAACAGTTATATGTTATGTTTGCTCCACATTGATTAGTTACTGTGTTGTTATCGTGTATATGTATGTTCGGAACCCTCTCTCTCTGAGCTAGCTTTTGGCCATGAGTTCTACCCAGGCTCATTTATCAAAAACAATTTTGTAAATAAGAATTAATAGAAAATTAAATAAATAAAAAATTTCATAAGCCATATCGAAAATATGAAAAACCTAAGAGTTGGTTGCAGAAAATGGCATTCAAACATGATAAGCCAAATTGCGAAATAATGATGGAATGAATAAAATTGGAGGTTCATGGCAAATGTTAAAACTTACTTAAGAGGGTTGGCAAACAATCTCTGACAAATAGTCACGAAACTTGTCTCTTGATTCGACATAAACCAGGCAAGAGAAGAAACACTACAATACATTGTAGAGAATATATAAAGTGGATGAATAAACAACATTTTCATCTTAAAAATACCAATAAAATTTAGAGATTTTCTAAACCTTCCAGTAAAGATATGTTCCCTCAAACCAAGAATCGATGGATGCCGCACGTCGTGCCTTTTAAGAAATTCTTGAAGCAAGTTTCTCACTTTCAGGGCCTCTTCCATGTAATTGTCCTACAATCTCATTAGTCTGTTAACTCAACTCTTCTTAAGTAAATGAAAATTCAAAGCCAAATGTGCATTGGCTTATTTACCTGATTCATATCAATTGTTTGCAAGCCTTCCCCACGCGTGAAAATAATGGCGTGATTCTGGTTTTCAGGTTTCCCTTCACCCAAGATAGCAGGGCCAGGAAGTTTTATACGATATATTACCTGCAAAAAGGGATAGTGCTACATATTATACCGAAAGTATGGTTTATAATAAAAGAAGATTTCAGTTTCAAAAGCTGTCATCCAACAAAAATGACTATAAGCTTGTCTATCTTACAAATGTTCACTTACAAAATTACACAGTGCTTCTTTTGCATAGACAGGAAGGGACATTCCCCCCCTCAGTAGTTTCACTAGTGTAGAGGGATAATTAGAAATATTACCAAGGTTATTTACTTGAAAAACCCAAATAGTTTTAAAATTTACAAAAACCCACCCTTGACATTTTTAGTTCCATTTTAGCCAAATCGGTAATTGATCTGCCGGAACGGACGATGTCATCAAATATTTAACAATTACACCCCAACTCTTGTTGGGAAATAAGGTCGGATAAGATAGAATAATAACAACACACCAATGTGAAAACAATAAAAGACACGAATATTTGTTAACCCAGTTCGGATTAAATCCTACGTCTGGGGGCGAACCAAGCCAGGAGAATGAACTAAAAGAAGAGGATAAACTGAGTGTTACAACTTACACAAACCCGTATGAATACACTCTCTCTACTCTTTTCTCTCTCTTTCTTTGTTGTTATGTTTCTTGGTTGTGATTTGCTTCAACTAAATCCTTTCTATTTATAGATGAAAAATGTTACAAATTTTCCACATATGTGTGCTTCAATTTTTCTACACATGTGGGCTTGTGCTTCATTTCTTCAATGGTGTTCTGAAGGAAAAAAATGGGCCTGCAGCCCCATTTTGACTCAACAATCTCCCACTTGAGGACTGATTTTAATCTGTCCTCACACCTCATTGATCAACATGTTCATTTCTGCTCTTGGTTCTGCCAAGCCTGTCTATTTTAATTATCAAGGCCGGTCGAAGCTACACACAGCTTCAACTTTTCCAAAGTCACCGTCTTGGTCAACATGTCTGCAGGATTCCTATCTCCTCGAACCTTTTTCAGCTGCAACATCTTCTTCTCTAGAAGTTGCCGGATGAAATGATACTTAACTTCGATGTGCTTCGTTCGCGAGTGAAACACGGGGTTCTTTGCCAGATGGATTGCACTCTGGCTATCGCTGTATAGAGCCAAATCCTCTTGAGGTCTCCCAAGTTCATTCAGAAAGTTTTGCAGCCAAACGAGCTTCTTGGCTGCCTCCGTCACTGCCACGTACTCAGCTTCCGTTGTTGACAATGTGACTATCTTCTGCAGCTTTGAAATCCAGGATACGGCCGTCCCACCGTAAGTGAACACGTACCCAGTAGTACTCCTCCTCTTGTCATGATCACTTCCTGCAAAATCAGCATCGACAAACCCAGACAGGGTAAGGGTACCCCTGCCAAATACCAATGCCCGGTCCTTAGTACCTCTCAGGTACCTAAGGATCCACTTTACCACCTCCCAGTGCATCACTCCAGGATTGCTCATGAACCGGCTGACTACTCCCACTGCATGTGCTATGTCTGTCCTGGTGCAGACCATAGCGTACATCAGGCTCCCTATAGCCGAAGCATAAGGCGTAACTCTCACCCTTTCTTTTTCAGAGTCATCCTTGGGCGAATCCTTGTTGGACAACTTGAACTGGCTTCCCAATGGTACTCCAACCGACTTTGCAGTATTCATTTTGAATCTGCACAACACCTTCTCAATATAATCAGATTGTGAAAGCCAAAGTTTACCAGCATTCCTGTCCCTCGTGATTTTCATGCCCAGTATTTGTCTCGCTTCTCCTAGATCCTTCATATCAAATCTCCTTGATAGCTGATCCTTGAGCCTCTCGATCTCCTTGACATCTGATCCTGCTATCAGCATGTCATCCACATATAGCAGTAAAATAATGAAAGAGTTACCGAACCTTTTCACATAACAACAATGATCAGCATTACACCTGGAGTATCCAATCTCCAGCATGAAATTATCGAACTTTTGATACCACTGTCGAGGAGCCTGTTTCAGTCCGTACAAGCTCTTCTTTAGGCGGCAGACCTGCTGATCATTTCCTCTATACCCCTCTGGCTGCACCATGTAAATTTCTTCCTCGAGATCCCCATGCAGAAAGGCCGTCTTCACATCTAACTGTTGCAACTCCAAGTTTTCCGTCGCTACCATGCTTAACACTAGACGAATAGTGGTTAACTTAACAACAGGTGTAAAAACATCCGTAAAGTCAATACCGTATCTCTGTTGGAATCCCTTTACTACAAGTCTAGCCTTGTACCGTTTTGTTCCATCGGATTCCTCTTTGACCCGATAGACCCATCTGTTTTGAAGCGCCTTCTTTCTTTGTGGGAGATCACACAAATCCCATGTGTGGTTCTTCTTTAACGAGTTCATCTCGTCGTCCATCGCAAGCTCCCACTTGCTCTTGTGGGCATCTTTAATTGCTTCTGCATAACAGTCGGGTTCCCCAGAATCAGATAAAAGTAGGTAATAAAGAGAAGGGGAGTACCTATCCGGGGCCTTTCTCATCCTCGGTTCTCGGCCCAGTGCCAGAGGCGTGCTGCTCTCAGCAATCGGTTCATCCGAATCTGGTTCTGCCTCTTCTTCTGTACGCTCGATCTCATCTATCTGAGCTCCCACTGAATCTGCTGGTCTCATGATTCCGGTATTTGAAATATCGAGACCAACATACTCCTGCATGGTCTTGTCATCGTCCGGGTATTTCTTCCGGTCCTTGTACATTATGCCTTCATTGAACACCACATTACGACTGCGAATAATTTTCCAATTTTGATCATCCCAAAATCTATACCCAAATTCGTCAGTCCCATATCCATGAATGTACATTTGACGGACTTAGCATCCAGCTTTGTCCGGTCGTCGTTCAAAACGTAAGCCAAACAACCAAAGGTACGTAAGAAAGAGAGATCAACTTCCTTACCACTCCAGACCTCTTCTGGAATTTTGTTGTTCAGTGGGACAGAAGGCCCTCGGTTTATCAAGAAAGCGGCCGTGCTGACTGCTTCTGCCCAAAACATCTTGGGCAGTCCACTCTTCAATCGCATGCATCTCGCACGCTCATTCAGTGTCCTGTTCATCCTCTCCGCAATGCCATTTTGTTGAGGTGTCCCTGGGACTGTCTTCTGCATCCGGATCCCATGATCAGCGCAGTATTCCTTGATGGCTTCACTGTTGTACTCGCCACCGTTGTCGGATCTGAGACATTTCACTTCCAGACCTGTCTCTTTCTCCACGAGTGCTCTCCATCTCCTGAAAGTATCAAAGGCTTCGGATTTTCTTTTCAGAAAGTACAGCCATACCTTTCTTGTGCAGTCATCGACGAACGTCATGTAGTGCATCGATCCTCCAAGAGATGTCACCGGTGTTGGCCCCCATAAGTCAGTGTGCACGAGCTCCAGTTTTTTTGTCTTTGGAGCTCTCCCGGTGGTTATGAAGCTCACTCGCTTCTGCTTTCCAAGCACGCATTGCTCGCAGAGACCCACGTCCACTGACTTCAACTCGGGCAAAAGTCCTCTCGACTTTAGTACCTTCATTCCTTTCTCGCTCATGTGGCCCAAGCGATTGTGCCACAAGTGCGATTGTGAGACAGCTCCTGCCAGGAGAATGTTTGAGCTGGATCCACTCGCCGTGTAAAGCGTTCCTGACTTCAGCCCTCTTGCCAAAGTCATAGCTCCTCGGCTGACCTTCCACTTTCCATCTCCAAACATTGTGTGGAAGCCGTCATTGTCCAGCTGTCCAACTGAGATGAGATTCCTCTTCAGTCCTGGAATGTGCCTCACATCCCGTAGGGTCCAGCATGACCCATTTGCCGACTTGATCTGCACATCTCCCTTCCCTATAATTTTTAGGGGTTTGTTGTCTGCAAGATATACCACGCCAAAATCACCTGTGGTGTATGGCTCCATGATGTCTCTGCTACTGCAAGAGTGAAACGAGGCCCCTGAGTCC